GTTTGCTTTCCGTGCTTCCCCAGCTTGGAATTTCCTATCTTCTATCCTGATCCTCTCTAACCTCTCTTCTGGCGTCTCTCTATTGTTATAGACCTTCTCAGCCACTTTTAACAGGTCCTGCAGAGTCTTCTCGCCCAATCTATCTATTCTCTGCACCTTGCGCCTAATGTCGGGGGCTGCCTGATTGACAAACGCCATCATAACAGCTGCCTTACTCTCCTCCATTGTGGGATCTATGGGGTGTACTGCCGGAAGGCCTCCATGATCCTCTCTAAGTATGCTGCCGGGCTCTCCTCCAGCCCCTGATGAACATTTCTTACCTTGGCCAAATTGGTCGGCTTTCGTGCCGCCATAGGGAGACCGGCCATCAGAGTCTGGCGGTAGACCCGGAGACGCTCCCTACCTTCAGCCTCATTGTAGTCCCAAAGCGGCCGTTCAAGGGGAAAAGTTTGGTCGATGGTTCATGGGTTTGTAGTAGGTCTGCCGTCCTCCCCGGAACCAGCTTCCGCGCCTCCCCCTGAATCCTTTCTCTTCGAAGAGCACCTTAAGCAACTGCTGGCAATCATCTCAGGTGGGCTGATGAGTAAAAAGAACAGAGTCTAAAAGATTAATTAGGTTTCTCGGATTCTCGGAGAAGTTCGAGTTTTGAGATTTCCAATTATAGAGGTCATTAGTAGGGAAGGGCCAGTATTGGTATGTCTGTGCTCCATCCTCTCCCAGGAATCCCACTGCCCTCAGAGGGAGCGCCTTTAGGTCTGGGTAGAAATTGGAGTCCGGCAACACTGGCGTCCCAAGGGACCGCAGACTCCGTGCCCTCTCCTTTCTGACTTCTTTAACTGCCAGAACTTCTGCCTTTCCCCTCGGGGCAGGTAGGAGGGCCTTCAGCCAGGGTGGCGGGTCTAGAACCAAGTCTTGCCAGACCACAATATAGGGGATCTGATCAGGGTGGCCGTGGTGGCCAAATACCACCCCTTTTACCTTTTCGATCAAGGAGGCATCAAACGAGCCCTCCCTGGCCCACCCCACTCCAAACGTGGGCCACTCAGCCTCACAAAGGGTAACAAACTTTCCCTTCTTGACCTCCAAGGACAGGTTGTGTGCCCTTGCCCTGACATCCTTAAAATGGCTCACCAGGATGGACAACGGCATTGTTAGAGCCTGTCCCATGGCTAGTCGATAATAGGCAGATGTGCAAACTGATATTCTGCAGTTGGGGCACTGGGGACAAGGATCTGAATCCCTAGCCTTTCACACTCCCTACAGAGGTAACGGCCGTGCTCCTCCCGCACTAGCCACTTCTGGCACGGGCGGCAGGAGATACACTGTGTGCTGCCAGCCCATGCAGGGGAATACTCACCTGGAGGTTCTAGTCGCCCCCGCGGATCTTTTCGTGGGTCCCCTGATTCCACGGCCCCAGCCCGAAAACCCATGCAACCCTGATGGGTTCTCGGGCTGAAACCACAGAACCCAGAGACTCCAACAAGCCAACGAGAGATGTCACACTCACTCACACACACACAGAAAGCCGGTGAGAAACAAAGCAGACAACAGACAAGTAGACAGTGAGGTAAACACACAACCTAACCTGGTCCGGACCTGCTCCCCGGTATCCTCCTGACCGAGCCCTTGGCTACAAGGTCAGCTCTGGAGTCCCAACGGAGCCAGAGGATGTGACCGAGCCCTTGGCTACAAGGTCAGCTCCAGCTCCTCCTGACCAAGCCCTAGGCTACAAGGTCAGCTCCGGAGTCCCAACAGGGCCAGAGGACGTCTCCGCCTGGCTCTGACTGGCGACCCACCAGCGCATCCGCCTAGGTCCTGTGCCGGCGTCCTGATCCGGGGTCCTGCAAGGGGATTCCGGCTAGTCCGGGGTGGATTTTCACACTCCTCCCTCAGCCCTGAATTCTATCCGGTAGTCTGTGGGGAAGGCAAATCCCGGACAAGCCCCCAAATGTTAGGGACCGACCTTCCACAGCCCCACCGGACAGAAAAGCAGAGACATCGAGGATGCAATCACACAAGAGGAGGTTTATTTTCTGGCTAGCCAGGGTCCAAGCCCCAGAGCACCAACGCAGTGGCCACTCTCGCGGGCAAGGAACCCGACCGGAACAACGACATGCCTTTTATCCCCATGGTGCACAAGCTGCGCACAAGCCGACTACGCATGGATCATGCGTTGACCTTTAAAATGATTGGTTGCCCACTATTGCCTTTTGAAATAATTGGCGGGTTGGTTGCCCTCTATTGCCTGATGGGCCAGTCGCCCGTGCTTCAATGACCTCATCCCATAATTCCCCTTACAGCGGTGCAGCAAGCAAGCAATGACCAGAAGCAAAGGTTTGCGGTTAGCTCATTGCCCCACCCAAGTAAATTCCCGACAATTGGAAGAATTCCTCTGCCCTTCCTCTGTCCTACAAATTCCTCTGCCCTACAGGTGCTGTGGCCATTTGGCCTGCAGGGAGGGACGGAATCAGGCAGCCACCTTGAAGAGAGTCCAGAGAGTATCTGCCTGGACTAGAAGTTTAATACCAGCAAGGTTAACCATTGGCATCCCTTCCCACCCCAACCTGAAGGCTGCCCTGTGACCAGGCAGAGATAACGGGAAGGTGTTTGACCCACAAGGGTGGAGAGTCTGGGCTTCAGGGAGTAGGAGGGGGCCTCGGAGTGGGGGAGGAGAGAACTCTGAGCTTTTCCTGAGTGCCTGCCCATCACACGTGCTATCTCACATCACCCATCCCTCCAGCCGAGGGAACTACAGATCCAAGTCTGATTCCAAGCCTGACTTCTTTCATGTAGCAGCTGCAGGAGAGAAGCTCCATAAGGGGTCCTCAAGGCCCATCCAAGGCTTACAGATCCAGTGTGTCTTCTTGGGCTTCCTCTCCTGCCCACATTTCCTGCTCACACCTCACAACTCCTGTTTCAGCCACCTTGGCATTCGGCTTGCACTTCTGTTACCTCCAAGCCTCTGTACTTGCTGAGACCTCTCCATGGAATGCCAGTCCCCCTGCTGTTTTGTGCTTGGCAAACCTTTCTCCTCTGGAATCTTTCCCCAGCCTCTTTGGGCTTCCACAGAATCCCACCACACTCTGTGCTTCCCTCTGTGAAAGCCTCACCTTGTTGTTCCAAGAGTTATTGCTTCTCAGACCTGTCTGTCCCCGCCAGCCCTTGCAAGGGACTCAATTCCCTTCCTGTTGAATGAGACCAGCATGGGCCAAGGTCTGGGTGCTCAGAGAGCATCTGTTGATTGGCAGAATGAGTATAGGGATTCCCTAACTTACCAAGCACCTACTTCATGCCAGGCACCGAACCAGGCCCTGGGGATCTGACACAAAGTGACATAGACACAACTCTGCTTTCAGGAGTGTGTGTTTTCTTAGGGAAAAGGCAGACAATAAACACAGTGGACAGAAAGCTGCAAAAAGGGCCAGAGTGGTATGATGAGAAAGCACCTGGGTGGCTTCTTGGGCTGAGTGGCCAACGGTCAGTTTAGGGGGGATTGTAGGCTGTGATGTAAGTGGCCACAAGGGGCCAGCCAGCCCACAGAAGAGGACTGAAGAACATTCTAGGCACCCAGAGAGGAAATTGCTGGAGCAAAAGCCCCAACATGGAGAGAGTAACTGGAGCTTATTCATGGGGTGAGGGGGGAATGATTTGATCTGAGGTCTCAGAGGAGGGGCAGGGCCTTCTATGCCATTGAAGAAGTTTGGTTTTTACAGCAGATGCCATGAGAAAGCAATGAAGGGCCAGTGAGGGGGCTGTCACATCATAAGACATTGTTAGGTTTTGTTTTTACTTTTTAAAAAACGTCTACCAGATAGTAAAACTTGTGGGTGAAAGTGTGCTGACAAGTAGGATGCCGATAGCTCTCCAAGTGACTTCCTATGACATACTTATTGGTTACAAAGAGGAAAAGGGAAGTGGAGAAATCTGGCAGACACAATTAGCTCCACCAGGAATGGGAAAACCCAATGCCATGTGCCTCCCACCATGATGCAGAGAGTACACGGTGTTGCTTTCAGGTATTCGTGCCAAAAATGTATAACCTCGATTAGTCAGTCATGAGGAAAAAGATAAACCCAGATGGAGGGATATTCTACAAAACAACTGTGCTGTGCTTTTCAGAAATATCAAGGTCATAAAAGACCCCCACTCCTTCAAATGCCCATCAGTAGGGGACTGAATTCAATGTGATGTATACATAGAATACATCACATTGCTGGATTGTTAGCCAGCAATGGAAAAGAATAAACTAGATCCCAATTAGGTCCATATGGAAAGATCTCAGGAACCATGCTCTTAGAATAAGGCGCATGGCAAATGAAAGCTACGCTGAGATCCCTTCCCCCTACCTATCCGATGAGCAGAAAATCAAAGTTTGATGCATGCTGTACTGACAAGACTGTGGAGAAACAGGAACTCTCCTACTTTGCTGGTGGGGGCCACATTGATACAACCCCTATAAAGTTACAATCACCAAAATTATATGTACTCTCGAACCCTCGTCCCTTTGTAGTGCAGAGGTGATGAGGAAGCCCAGGGCAGGGGTAAGAGCCCCAGACTAAGGGATTAGATGCCTGGATTCCAACTCAACTTCCACTCCTTACTTGTCAGTGACCTTTAGGCTAGTTCCAGCCCCATTTGGAGCCTCTCAATAGGAATGAGGAAGTAATGTGTCCGCCCAACCCACACATCCCTAAATTATTTACAAGACACATGACACAAGTGGATTTTTCTATTGGAATAAGCTGTCAGGCCTGGCGCGATGGCTCACACCTGTAATCCTAGCATTCTGGGAGGCTGAGGCAGGCGGATCATTTGAGCTCGGGAGTTCAAGACCAGCCTGAGCAAGAGCAAGACCTCATCTCTACCAAAAATAGGAAAAATTAGCCGGGCATGGTGGCGCATACCTGTAGTCCCAGCTACTTGGGAGGCTGAGGCAAGAGGATTGCTTGAGCCCAGGAGATTGAGGTTGCTGTGAGCTAGGCTGATGCCACAGCACTTTAGCTGGGGCAACAGAGTGAGACTTTGTCTCAAAAAGAAAAAAAACAAACAAAAAACATATCTTAGAATAGGCTGCCAGAGGAACCTCTGGGGACCCTTTTGGATCAGGACCCACTGCCCTGTGCTCTAATGCCATGGGGCATGGCCCCAGCATTCATGGCCTTAGCATAGAACTTCACCACCTCCTCATTGGGGTTGCCCTGGGCTGGGTCAAACACATCTGGATGCAGCAGCCGCTCCCTTGGCTGTAGTTGCTGACTTTGTAGGAGTGACTCCAGAGGCCCTCACAAAATGCAGCTGATGTGGAGAGGTAGGACTCAAATGTGTGGCAGGTGGCCCCAGCTGGGCACTCGTTAATCCCTGGGGGAGAATACAGGACCTTCAGCTCCTGGGCCAGACCTTACTTCTGCAACCCCAAATCCCACTCCCATTCCCCATGTCCTCGGCCCCAAGCTGTCACCTGAGGTCCAGTTATAGCCCTTTTGCCAGTTGCTCTTGCAGGTGTAGGAGGAGCGACAATCCTCCCACCAGCGCTGACAGTCCTCTTTGCACAGGGGCATGTTCAGGATCCACTCTTTGTGCCAGCTCTGATTTACCTGGGTGGCCAGGGGAAGGGAGGCTCCTGTCAGCCAGGTATCTCAGCAGCTATAGCCTAGAAGGGGGCCAGGGATGTGGAAAGGAAGGTGCCTCCACACACCCCCCCCAGACTAGGATTCCTGGACCACATCCTGGCAGCAAGAGCCTGGCAGGCTCTGCCCGCTGCTGAGGTTCATGTTTGTGGGGACAGCACTGGCACTCGTACCTGCTGGATCCAGGGCCCCAGGTTGGGTGAACACTCATAGAGACAGGTGTCCTGGATGAAGTGGCTCTGGCAGGCAGGCTCCATGGTGCCGCAGTGACCCCAGTTAAAGTTATACAGGCGGGAGGTGTCCTTGTGCAGCTCCTGGCTGGTGCTGACGGAGCAGCAGGAATTCTTCCTCCAGGGACTGCACTGGGTGGGGAAAAAGCAGGACCAAGTCCCTCCCACCACAGCCACCTCCTCCACATTCTAGCTGCTCTACCCCAGGTAGAGCGCCCGGCCTGACAGCCTATTCCAATAGAAAAATTAACTTGTGTCACGTGTCCTGTAAATAATTTGGGGATGTGTGGGTTGGGGGGACACATTACTTCCTCATTCCTATTGAGAGGCTCCAAATGGGGCTAGAACTAGCCTAAAGATCACTGACAAGTAAGGGGTGGAAGTTGAGTTGGAATCCAGGCATCGAAACAAACCCTTTCTGGGGAGGGCCCTTGAGAAGGCCCATGTGGGGACAGAGGTGATTACAAGATTGGCTTTTAGCAGACAGTAGCACAGGAGATGGGGGAGACCAGGGGGAGCCACTGTCTCGGAGAGTAATTATTATTTTTACAGCTCCTAATAGTTAAAAAAGTTATTTCACATTATTTCAGTTATTTATATTATTCATGTTGCATCCAGCCAATATTAGCTGTTTATCATACATCAGGCTCTGTGCTGGGTGCTAGGAATACTGTAGGGAACAAAATAGATCACATTTCTACCCTCATGGAGCTTGCGGTTTTAGTTGGGGCTGGTGGTAAAGAACATTCTAGGCATAGAAAACAGAAGGTGCAAAATCCTTGAGGTTTTTGCGTTTTATTCTCTCAACAACCCAGTAAAAATCATTATTCCCATTTTTACAGGGTGTAAGTAAGCTGCACCCCTAATGAACAGTGGAGTTGAGGCTTTAGCTCAGGACAGCGAGGAGAGGACCTGGCTCTGGCTGTGGTGGGGGCTGGAGGTTAAGGGCTGGCCTGGCTCTCCAGGGCCTGGGACTCCAGGCTAGGGAACTCCAGGTGGATCCCGAGAGTGGTGGGCAACAGAGGACCTATGGGCCTGAACGTGGACCTGACTACACATGGGAAAGGCAATCCTAGAAAGGCAAATTCAAGGCAGGTGAGACAAGTGGAAGTGGTGGTTTCTCTGCAGAAATCACTCTAGGCCATGACTCAGAAAAGCTGAGTGATCATGAGCCAGTTGCTTAAAATCTCTGAGGTGAACTCTCACACCTAGGGCCAAATGAGGGGGAGATGTGATGGCTCTGGGCACCCAATGAGGAAACCCACTAGGGCGGAGCCAAATATACATCTCTCCAACACCCCGACCACACCCCCGGTGCTGGCTGACACAGAACATGCTCCCAAGCCTGCCCAACTTCGTGCATGCTCTCTCTGGATGCCCCAACTCTTGGTCACCCTGCAAGATCCCCTGCTTGGCCTGCTAGCCAAGGTCAGTGGTTTCCGTCTCTGAAAGAGTTAATATAATGAAAATCACTCCCTAGGCTATAGTAAGGACTCAACAAAATTGGCCACCGTCATACAGCCTGTGGCCCTCAAAATTATGATCATCTGTCCCTCTCAAAGGTTTGCATCTGCACCATTTCTTGGCAAAGGCAAGGTGCTGCAGAGGGCTCTTAAAAGCAAATGCAGTGTTGAGTACGGAGTTGCAGTTTCAGTTTTGGAGGATGAAAGAGTTCTGGAGATGAATGGTGGTGATGGTTGTGCAACTATAGGAGCATACTTAGTGCTTACAGTTAAAAATAGCTAAAATGTTAAATTTATGTTACGTATATTTTACCACAATAATTTTTTTTTTTTTTATGAGACAGAGTCTTGCTTTGTTGCCCAGGCTAGAGTGCCGTGGCGTCAGCCTAGCTCACAGCAACCTTAAACTCCTGGGCCCTTCTGCCTCAGCCTCCGAGTAGCTGGGACTACAGCCATGCGCCACCATGCCCGGCTAATTTTTTCTATATATGTTAGTTGACCAATTAATTTATTTCTATTTATAGTAGAGACGGGGTCTCGCTCTTGTTCAGGCTAGTTTCGAACTCCTGACCTTGAGCGATCCGCCTGCTTCGGCCTCCCAGAGTGCTAGGGTTACAGGTGTGAGCCACCAAGCCCGGCCTCACAATAATTTTTAAAGAAACAAGTGATACGTCGGAAATGACTCAGCTGTCATGGGGCTTCTGGGATTCCGTCTCTTCACTGCAAACCCCTGGAGTCTGCCCACGCCCCAGCCTCTCCCTGGGAGCATCCCCAGCCCTCTAGCAACGCGAAACCTTGTGGGGAGCAGACAAGGAGACCAGAAGGAATGAAATCCTGGCATCTCTCCCGAGGCTGGAGTCCAAATTCAAGCTCAGATTTCCCAAGCTGGGTCAGTGGCCTCACCTGTGCCATAGGGGCGCTGGCCTCCCCTCCCCTTCTCTGTGGGCAGCAGCATCCTTGGCTCTGCGCACACTAGACTTGTGGCGGCACCCTCTGACCTGTGTACGTTCTGTCCTGTGCTGGGTGCCCTTTCCTGCTTTGTCTTCCTGGAAAACTCTTACTCATCCTCCAAGGCCAAGGTCAATGATCCCTTTACTGGGAAGTCTTGCCGGCATATCTGATTTGTCACTTCAATACCAGATGGGGGTGGGGGACCTGGCCCGTTTGTACATGTTTGCTGCGTGTAGCATGACCAGGGACCTGTCTGCTCTTCCGCCTTGCCATTGAGCTCTGTGGGCTGGCACATAATTAAGGCTGGGAAAGGTACTGCCAATCTCTCTCCTCAGTTCCCTCTCTGGGCCTATTTCCTCATTTGTGTAAATAGAGACCACGACCCACCTACCAAGCAGGCCCTTTAGGCGTATTCACTGACACGGTATAAAGAAAGCACTTGGCTCATCATGGGTGCTAGATGCATGGTCCCTGCATTATTGTAGATTTGGTGGCCTCCTGGGTAGAGGCCCTCCAGGATCACCTCAAACCCCTCCTTCCCCCATCACTCCCCCATGCTGACCTTCCCTTCCTCCTAACTTCTTGTCTGTGAGGATCAGCTCTCTCCCCACCTCAGCCCTCACTCCATCCTCACCTGGCCATACAAATTGCCCTCGGGGATTGGCTTAGCCTTGTGGTATTTGGCATCCAAGCAGATGTTGAGCAGGTCCGTCCTGGCCCGTGGAGTCCTGGGCTGGGCACCCCCCACAACCGTCACTGAAGCCAGCAGCAGCAGCGGTGTCACTGCCAGGCCACATGCATCTATTCCTGCCAAGGAGCCACAGTCAGGGGACAAGGCTGAGAGAGGGCCAGCAACGGTAAGACTCTTGGCCAGGTTTTGTGTCCTGGTCCCCAGCCAGATCTTCGGCCCTCCTCACCCTGCAAACCCCACAGGGCAGCTGAGCCAGGGAATGAAGAGTGCGTAGAGGGAGCCCTTCTCCACCTGCTGCCCACCCATGGCCCTCTGAGTCCAGGCTCTGGCGCCATCTTGCCTTGTGATCCTGGGGGGAGCCACTGCCTCTCTAGACTTCCCCTCTTGGATCTTACCAGTGTTTTGTGCAAGTCCTCACAAATTTGCACAAGGAGAAACCACAGGGCATGGCCCACTGAAGGGGGGTGGAAAGTGAGGGGAAGAAGGGATCCCACCAGCCTCAGGCTTCTGCTTCCTCAGCCCATCCCTCTTCCCCAGGGTAGCTGAGGTTTAGGTACAGGGTAGACAGGGAAGCTGGAAAGGCCACTGAGGAGCTGTCCGCTATTGTTCATGGGAGGCAAGGGGGTGGGGACACTCACACCTCAACAACCCTTTCCCCGCTTGAGATCTTGGGAAGGTGCCCAGGCAGAGGCAGGCTCATAGCTGGGGGGAGGCCAACAGGTGAGCAGCAAATGGAGGAGGGAATGGAGCAAGAGCAGTGGCTGGGAGGGCCACTGGAGAAGAAGACAACAGAGCAACTGGCCTCCCAGGAGCCCTGGAGGAGACCCTACCTGCCTCGCCCTCCCATTCCTACTTTTCCTCCTGTCCTGTCCCAGAGCCTTACCTCCATCCTCAGCCCACCTGGAAAGGTGGGTGTATGTGAAAGCATTTTTTAGCTTACACTTATGCACATTAATGTACATAATCACACTACTGGTCGTATAATGAGAACTACTCTATACCAGGTAGAATATTTGATACTTTGCTTACATTATAGTGTCTTGTAATCCTCACAACATCCTGCAAGGCTGACACTATTTCCAACATATAGACAAGGAAACTGAGGCTCTGAGAGTTAGGTGAATTCCCAAACAGCTAGAAAGTAGAGAAGTCAGGATTCAGCCTGTCAGTGTGACTGCAAAGCCCATGCTGTCCTCGCTGTAATGCTACCTCCAGATACAGGGTCTTCTTTTCCTGCCCTGCCTCCAGCAAATTTAGCTGGAAAACCACAGCCCGCGTCTACCTTTTAGAACAGCCTTGAGAGCTCTCTTATCCCTCAGAAAACTTTTAGACTGTGCAATTTTTTTAGTCTTGCTAGTAAGTTTTGCTAAATAATACAAATAAAGGAAATGTTATATTTAAGAAATAAGAATATCTTGTTACCCCATTCCAATCAGAGATAAGCATAGATTTTTCATTAGGAATTCTTCCTAGTCATATTATCAAGTAGATATACAAATCACAAATGACACCAAAAGGAAAAACATAAAGCATCCTTTAATTTTTTCTTTTTTTAAGAAAAGCTAAGCAAAACCACAAACAACTAAGTAAATAAGGCAGTCCACGCCTGGACCAATGATGAGTGTGCCAAGAGCCGAGGGTTGTGATTAACTCAATCCTGTGCGGATGGAGACGGGGAAAACCTTTTCCCACGTGTGGTGGGTTAGAGAAGGGAAGAAATTCTTTGACCATTGATAAGTGAGGTCTATGTCCCTCAGCTATGCCTTAGTTTCTACTTCCATATATCTTGGAATACTATTAATAGCTCTTGGAGGCCAAGGCGGGAAGATTGCTCAAGGTCAGGAGTTCGAAACCAGCCTGAGCGAGACTCCGTCTCTACTAAAAATAGAAAGAAATTAATTGACCAACTAAAAATATATATACAAAAAATTAGCTGGGCATGGTGGCACATGCCTGTAGTCCCAGGTACTCGGGAGCCTGAGGCAGTAGGATTACTTGAGCCCAGGAATTTGAGGTTGCTGTGAGCTAGGCTGATGCCATGGCACTCACTCTAGCCTGGGCAACAAAGTGAGACTCTGTCTCAAATTAAAAAAAAAAAAAAAATAGCTCTTGGATCTCCCAGCCACCATGTAAGAAGTCTGACTGCCAGACTTCTTGCCAGAGTGATCACATTGAGAGGGCTAGGGACTAAATAGAGAGGGGGGCTAAGGAGGCCATCTGGCTGTAACATCTATCACCCTATTAATCACCAGGGTTGATTGGCTGATCTGGCTGATTAGGCGGTTGTCCCCTTCCTGTGGTCCCAGCTATTCGGGAGGCTGAGGCAGGAGGACCACTTGAGCCCAGGAGTTGAAGGTTGCTGTGAGCTAGACTGACACCCGAGCTAGAGTGTCATGTAGCCCAGGCAACAGAGCAAGACTCAGTCTCAAAAAAAAAAAAAAAAAAAAAAAAAGTGCCAAACATGAGTAAAACCATCCTGGCTGCTCAAAACCAGCCTAGAAGCTAAGCCGAATTCCACCAAGTGACCTTAGTTGCTGCCTCATGGAGCAGAAGAATTGCCCCGCTGAGTCTTACCCAATTCCTGACCCACAGAATCTTGAAATATAATAAAATGTTCAAGCCACTAAATTTATTTGTTTTTTTTAAGACGTTGTATTTTGAAATAATTTTAGACTTACAGAAAAGTTGCAAAAAATAAAGTTCCAGCTTTTCATCTAGCTTCCCCCAAATGTTGGCATCTTACATAACCAGAGGCTAATTACTTAAAAAATCAAGAAACCACAGTGAGTTATCAGAACTTATTAACATTAGTGTCACTAAATTTGGTATACAACCTCCCACTGCTAAATTTGACTGGCTTAAAAAAAATCAAGAAATTAACATCAAAGCAATCCTATTAACTAATCTACAAACTTTATTCCATTTTCACCAGTTTTCCCACCCATGTCCTTTCTCTGACCCAGGATCCAATCCATGATTCCAGATTGAATTTAGTGGTCATTTTCCCTTAGTCTCCTCTAATCTGTGACAGTTCCTTAGCCTGTCTTTGTCTTTTATGACCTCCACCCTTTAGAAGAATTATCGTTGGTTGTTTTGCAACTTGTCCCTCAATTTGGGTTTGTTGAATATTTTCTCATAATTAGATTGAGATTATGCATTTTTGGCAAGAAAATCAGAGAAGTGATGTCCCTTTCTCAGTGCATTACATCAATGGGTACATGATGTTGCTATGCCTTATTGATGGTGATCATTTTGTTAAAGAGGTTTCTTTATCATAAAATTATTACTTATTGTTATCATAGTTTTTTTTTTTTTTGTTTTTTTTTTGAGACAGAGTATCACTCTGTTGCCTGGGCTAGAGTGCCATGGTGTCAGCCTAGCTCACAGCAACCTTAAACTCCCGGTCTCAAGTGATCCTTCTGCCTCAGCCTCCCAAGTAGCAGGGACTACAGGCACATGCTACCATTCCCGGCTAATTTTTTTCTATTTTTAGTTGTTTGGTTAATTTCTTTCTATTTATAGTAGAGACGCGGTCTCAATCTTGCTCAGGCCGGTCTCGAACTCCTGAGTTCAAGCAATCTTCCTGCCTCAGCCTCCCAAAGTGCTAGGATTACAGGCGTGAGCCACCGTGCTCGGCCTATAGTTATTATTATTAGTTTTCCCTTTGTTAGCAATTAATACCTTGTGGGCAGACAATTTGAGACAATACAAATATCCTCATCATATTTTCATACACTAACTTTTTACAACTTCATTTTTTTTTTTTTTTTTTTGAGACAGAGTTTCACTCTGTTGCCTGGGCTAGAGTTCTGTGGCATAAGCCTAGTTCACAGCAACCTTAAACTCCTGGGCTCAAGTGATCCTCCTGCCTCAGCCTCCCAAGTAGCTGGGACTACAGGCATGTGCCACCATGCCTGGCTAATTTTTTTTTTTTTTTTTTTTTTGAGACAAAGTCTCGCTTTGCTGCCCAGGCTAGAGTGAGTGGCCGTGGCGTCAGCCTAGCTCACAGCAACCTCAAACTTCCTGCGCTCAACAGATCTTCTGGCTTGCCTCCCAAGTAGCTGGGACTACAGGCATGTGCCACCATGCCCGGCTAATTTTTTCTACATATATTAGTTGGCCAATTAATTTCTTTCTATTTTTAGTAGAGATGGGGTCTCTATCTTGCTTAGGCTGGTTTCGAACTCCTGACCTCGAGCAATCCGCCCGCCTCGGCCTCCCAGAGAGCTAGGATTACAGGCTTGAGCCACCGCGCCTGGCCTAAACTTTGTATTTTGAAATAATTTTAGATTTACAGAAAAATTGCAAACGTAGTAAAGAGAATTCCCAAATGCTTTTCATCCAGTTTCCCCAAACGTTGGCATCTTACATAACCAGAGAACAATTATTAAAAAATCAGGAAGTTGGCTGGGTGCGGTGGCTGACGCCTGTAATCCTAGCACTCTCGGAGGCCGAGGCGGGCGGATTGCTCGAGGTCAGGAGTTCAAAACCAGCCTGAGCAAGAGCGAGACCCCCATCATCTACTTATAAATGAAAAGAACTTAATTGGCCAACTAATATATATAGAAAAAATTAGCCGGCATGGTGGCACTGCCTGTAGTCCCGCTACTCAGGAGGCTGAGGCAGGAGGATCGCTTGAGCCCAGGAGTTTGAGGTTGCTGTGAGCTAGGCTGATGCCACAGCATTCACTCTAGCCTGGGCAGCAAAGCGAGACTCTGTCTCAAAAAAAAAAAAAAAAAAAAAAAATTCAGGAAGTTAACATCGAGGCAATAAATTTTTTTTTGTATATATATTTTTAGTTGGTCAATTAATTTATTTCTATTTTTGATAGAGACGGGGTCTCACTCAGGCTGGTTTCGAACTCCTGACCTTGAGCAATCTGCCCGCCTCGGCCTCCCAAACTGCTAGGATTACAGGCGTGAGCCACCACGCCAGGTAAGGCAATACTTTTTAACTAATCTACTAACTTTATTCCATTTTCACAAATTTTCCCACCACAGTCCTTTCTCTGGATGCCATGGCACCAGTCTCCAGAAGTAAGGATATCCCTCTAATTCCTTTGCATTTTGCTTTTTTTATGTAACACAATGTGCTATAAATGGTGCCCTGTCTGTGTATTTAGATCTATATGATTCTATTTAATTAAATAATTTTATTGACTTTAAGTAGCTTCTTGTATTTCACTGTTATAGTCAATGCTGTAGTGAATGTCCTTGTATATCCATCTGTCTTTGTATATAAGAACCTATCTAGAGGAAGGAGAATGGAAATGGTGCAGCTGTTGTGGAAAATGGTATAGTGGTTCC